CCCACACACCCCACACACCCCACACACCCCACACACAGCACACACCCCACAACAACACACCCCACACACAACACACACCCCACACACAGCAAAAACCCCACACACATACACACGCATGCACATACAACAGGCCTAATGTCTAATCGACATGTGCCTAGGACCAAATGGTAACTAATTAACCTGCCACATATGATCAAATCCTATGTAACTCCTATGGCAATAATACGAATGGAAGGGGATACCAAGACTTGTATTTCTTTAAATATATTAAATATACAATGAGAGCAGCAGCAGCGGTATATATATATATATATATATATATATATATATATATATATATATATATATATATATATATATATATATATATTATTAGCACACTGGTCGATTCCCACCAAGGCAGGGTGGCCCGAAAAAGAAAAACTTTCACCATCATTCACTCCATGACTGTCTTGCCAGAAGGGTGCTTTACACTACAGTTTTTAAACTGCAACATTAACACCCCTCCTTCAGAGTGCAGGCAACGAATGGATTTGTCAGTTAAAAACAGAGGTGGACCAATCTAGTCACCACCATTAAAATGACTGCTCCCGTCGTCTCCTGGCGCTAACCTAAGGCGCACTCTGTGGATAATTTTGACCTCTCCTATTCCATCTTATGGTAAAATCTTCTACACGCTTCCCTCATGTATCTAATGTGTGTTAACAAACACCTTCTCTAGTCATTTGTCTTACATCTGACTCCTTTCTTTGGCAAGAAGCTTTTAGTCAAGCACCCGTTGCCCCACATTAAATATTGATACTCTAGTTTACTTATCTATGCTAACTCTTTCTTCCTTACCACAACCACTCTCTTATACCCACTACTTCCTGCTGCACACACACTGACATTACAATCATAAATCTATCCCATACCACCCATATCTCTTTCTCATTACTAGTTCTCTCTAGCCCACCTTTCTCCCAATAATTGCTTATATAATACCCTGTATTCTCTTTTATACATAAACTTTCACTTCTCTTTTATCTACCGATGGCATTCTCCTTGTGCCCCATCTACCTCTTATCTACACTGTGGCTACCAATAAATAATGATCTGATGTATCTGTCGCTCCTCTAAAAATATGCCCATCCATAAGTCTAGCTATCAGCTTACTGTATATTAACACAGTCCAACAAATTGTTATCATCACGCCAATATCACATATCATATTCTTATTCATCCTCTATCTCTTAAAATACGAATTATTTATTACCAAACTTTTTTTCATGCATAGCTCAATTAGAGGCCCCAATAATCATTGACTCCTGCTTACCTACTACGCCCTTTACAACAGTTTCTCCCATTTTAACATCTAGGTCTTCCACAACAATTAATTTCTCACTTGCTCCAAAACTCCCTAAACATTTATTTAACACTTCCCAGAATATCTCTTCTATACACTCCTCTCTTTCCCATGTGCATAAACACTTACTATTACCCACCTCTCACATCCCTTACTTGAACCCATAGAAATCTTGAATAGATCACATATATTCCCTTTTGTCTTCCTATGACTGATAATTTAGTGTGTATTCGCACACATGTTCATGAGCATCTGCATATGTAGTATAAATTGGATTGAAGTAGAAATAGCAAGATATGCCTGTATCTTACGTGTTTATGAGACAGAAAGAAAACAAACAAGTAATCCTGCCATTGTGTAAAACAACTACAGGTTTCCGTTTAACACTCATTTGGTAGGATGGTAGTACCTCCCTTGCTGTCTTTTAACCATGATTAGTTAATTGTATTAACTATGTTAAAGATTTAGGCTTTCTTTATTAGCTGCAAGATGCAAGGTTAAACTGATAGTTATCTTACAGGTTTTACAAGCTCACTCCCATCTTCAGGTATTATTGGTGGGAACGGCGATAAGTGGCAAGAACTGCGGAGGTTCGTACTGCGCCACCTTCGGGACTTCGGGTTCGGTAAGACCACCTGTGAACCTATGATCACGAAGGAGGTGACTGAGCTGATGGACCACATCCAGCAGCAGAAGGGTCAGCCCATTCCCATGATGGTGAGGGATGATGATTGTGATGGGCGGGGTGATGATGGTTGATTATAGGGAAGGCACTGTAGGTATTTGAGGTTATTGTGACGCGGATGATGATTGATTTGGGTGAGGCATTGATGAAAATAGTGATGATAGTAGTTGGCTGAGGTAAAGGTGAAGATGATCTTAATGGTAGCTGGTTTTGGTGATGGTGATGATGATAATGATGATCATAATAATAAAACTGTGAGCTAAGTGTGATTCAGTTTTGCTGTGTGTCACATCACCTCACAACACACAGTACAACGAAGCTACATCAAGAAACACAACCTTCAGACAAGGTAATCTTTAACTCTCCACAAACACCCAACCTTCCCTGCACGAGACTCCTCAAATATAACTAACACTTTTGGAAAGGAAATTTAAAAACAAAAATATCCAATCAATGTTTGTGTTATTAGTAAAGCGTTCCAGCCACGTTATTGTAACTTCTATTCAACGAGACTCTCAACTTACCTTCCCAGCCCATCTAGTAACACCACATCTTTCAAACCTATCACATACCCGACTCTCATGAGAAAAAGGGGTTTCATCTTATACTATCTTTGCCACAGGGGAAAGGATACAAGACAGTAAGATACTATCGAAGTGAGACAAACTGGAATGGTGTCTCTCGCTCAGCAGACGGAGGATCGTAGATGAATGGTCCAGAGAACCGACACGTTGATAAATTAGAATCGTGTGCAACACTTGAGTATCTTTAATGAGGAAACGTTTCGCCACACAGTAGCTTCATCAGTCCAATACAAAGAAGAGCGAAACGTTGCCACAATAAAAATGTCACATTAGTTGCACTTGTGTCCTTTTACTTTACGTATTGTCGGTAATTCTACCAACTTTATTACACATAGATTTAATCAAGTCCGATTAGATCAGACCAAGACCACAACAATCATTGTCACAGCGAACAAACAGCGTACCAAAAACACCAAAGTCTTCTGGAACTTTATAAAAAAAAATCAGAGGCACAAATCCCACCAACAAATTCAAACACATCACCCACAACAACACACACATCTCAGACCCGCAGGCTGCTACTAACATCTTCAAACACATCTGGGAGAACATCTTCCACCCTCACCCACCCCACCCTAACGCTATTCAACACATTCAGAACATAGAACACTGGAACACTACACACACACAAGAAACAACACCAGACAGCCACATCCATCTGGACTCTCTTACCTCCTCCCAAGAACTCGACACTCCTTTCACCATCACAGACATTAAAACTCTCCTCAGACACTTTCCTCCCAAGGCTCCTGGTGCCTCTGGCCTAAACCATTATTATCCTAAAACACCTTCCTGACTCTATCATTACTGCCTTCACAAACCTCCTCAATGCCTTCCTTGCCTCTGGATACTTCCCTGCCCTCTTCAAAGCTGCTACTGCTATCCTCCTTCCTAAACCCAATAAAGACCACTCTGACCCTAGAAACTATCGCCCTATCAGCCTCCTCGAAACTTTAGGAAATCTCTGAAAAATTCATCAACCTGGAACACAACGCGTACCTTCTGTCGGCCAGTTTGGCTTCAGAACTCGCAGATCTACTCAGGATGTCATTAACATCATTCTCAGCTACATCCACATAAACACAAAACAAAGAAACAGGACAGCCCTGGTCGCAAAAGACGTTGAAAAAGCTTTTGACACTGGCACGAAGGGCTCAAGTACAAACTCTGCACTAACTTTAACCTTCCTCTCACTACTCGTAAACTCCTCTGCAACTTCCTAGACGGCCGCACCATGAGAATCAAATTCCAAGGCTGTTACTCTGATTACTTCACACTATCCTATCCCCTACCCTCTACATTTTATACACTAACGACATTCCAACAACTGTATACCACAACTCCATCACACTACCCTATGCAGACGACATTACACAACTTACCACTCACGCCAATATAGATACACTCACACACAAAACACAAAATGAGGTCGACAGGATAGCCTTCTGGGAACAAAAATGGAGGATCAAATCCAATGCAGCTAAATCCAGCATTACATATTTTAACTATAGGAAACGTGATCCTTCATTACCTGTCGAGCTCTGAACAGCTGACACTCGCATCTACATCCCTATCACACAATCTGTCACTGTCCTTGGCGTTAATCTTGACTACCTTCTTAGCCTACACGGACACATTCACTCAAAGCATGCAATAGCTAGTAAGGCCCTTGCTGGCCTCTACAAGCTGCAACATGCCTCCCAACGCACCAGATTACACCTCTACAAACCCCTAACACGTCTTGTGATAACCTACTCTCCTCTAGCCCTCTCTTTTGCAGCTAAAACAAACTTACTTAAACTGCAGCGTGTCCAGAACAAGGAGCTGCGCTTGGTGCTTGATATCAGATGGGAGGACTTTGCCACAAGCGAGTCTCTCCATGCCCAATTAGACATCCCTGCACTGAATCTGTACCAGAAGACGCTCAGTGGCAGACAGATAGACAAACTCGAGACACGACATGACTGCTGGACCTCTCTCCTTGACGAAGACATTCGCAGACCCACACACCAACACAACCTTTTCTACTCCTTGTATGATCCTGCTCCTAACCTTATCTACAAATAACCTTTGGATTCGTAGGTAAGACACATAGGCAACAGTTAGGTAACTTTATTCCGAAACGTTTCGCCTACACAGTATGCGAAGAAGCCTACTGTGTAGGCGAAACGTTTCGGAATAAAGTTGCCTAACTGTTGCCTATGTGTCTTACCTACCAACCTGTTGGTATTGTATACCATTTTGATGTTCAACCTTTGGATTCTCTGAAAGATACCTTGAGCTGTTCGTCCCTCTGACCCAAGTTCGCCTTAGCTGCTGGGTTAAGTCATGGCTCAATTTCTACACTCCTCTCTAGCGCTAATCTTCGCCTGTCCCGTCCTCCCCGCTCACCCCACCGAAGTCCCAACCAGAACAGCCTGCTGTTTGTTCTCAATGTCTGTCCCACGATCGCCTTAGCTGCTGGGTTAAGCCCTGGCTCTATTTCTACAACTAAGAACACTCCTCTCCAGCGCTATTCTTATACTGAATTTGTATTGATAAAGCCACTGGATGACGAAACGTCTACAATAAAGATACCCAGATGTTGCACATGTGTCAGTATCGTATACTGTATCGTATACTTCTACATTTCCTTCTTTCTTCCCCTCTCTGTCCCGTCCATGTCCCCCCTCGCCTATATATACTGGCTCCCTCACTCTCGTGTGTCAGTGTGACTTGTAAATGGTCCAAGTCGAACCGAAACGTAGTCATAAGTTTCTCTCTATGCGGGTTATTTTTGGACCTTTTATTTTTACAACGTTTGACCCCCTTTGATAAATGTATTAATATTGATAGAATTGCCGACATTATGTTAGGTAGAAGGACACAAGTGCAACTATAAACAAGTATGAAACACTAAAATGTCACATTAGTTGCACTTGTGTCCTTTCACCTAACAGGTGGGTATCTTAATTGCGAAACGTTTCACCTACACTGTTCCGGATTATGGAGAAGAACTCTTCTCCAGGTTGAGGGAGTGACCACCTCATAACTTCGTCTTCGAGGGAGGTGGATTCATTAAAATCATCTTTTCAGTGACGGTCTGGAGTTTTGAGACTCTCTGATCGCGGGTTCTATCCCCGCCCGTGGAATGTTTTTATTTTTTCATCTTTTCTGTGTTTGCTGCCTCCTCTGTATTCGACTGATGAAACCTGCTGTGTAGGCGAAACGTTTCGGAATAAAGATACCTAACTTTTACACATATGACTTATCACCTTGTCGGTACTGTATACCATTATCATCATATCCGTCTTGATTTAACCTAACTAAAGGGTGAACGTTATAATAATGGCCTACGCTGTTTCATGTGTCTCTAACCACACTCAACGTGTATCCTGCAGCGTCTGTTCAATCTGTCTGTGGTGAACACCTTATGGGGGATGGTGATGGGCAAGAGGTTTGCCTTCGACGATGCCAAGGTGAACAAGCTCCTTGAAACCTTTCTGGAGCCGGCTCGAGCGAGCAATTTTCATCCCATCTTCTTCATTCCCGGGATGTCAAAGGCGGTCATCTACCTGCCCATCTTAAGGCATACCACGAAGTCACTCGAAAGAATCGTCAGATTCGTCAAGGTAAGATGTCTTGGAGAAATAATTCGTGAAGTAAACAGGAACACTGCAGTAGGCCTGTCGACCCGTACTGGGCAGGTTCTTCACAAATCCATCCCACTAACAGACTATTTGCTCAACCCATTTTCAACGCTACCCAGCAATAAGCTTTGATAAATCTATTTTCTCAGGTGCAAGTCCCGCTCAAATCCAACCCCTCTCACTCATGTATTTATTCAATGTAAATTTGAAACTATCCCAACTAGGCAGAGTGTTCCACTCATCAGCTACCCTATTTCCAAACCAGTACTTTCCTATATCCTTTCTAAATCTAAACTTATCTAATTTGAATCCATTATTGTGGGTTCTCTCTTGGAGAGATATCCTCAAGACCTTATTTATATCCCCTTTGTTAATACCCATCTTCCACTTATACACTTCGATCATGTGATATAAACCTTGGTAATAAATACCGACAAGTTGGTTTAGAAAGACACGTAAGCAAACACTATGACATATTTATTAGAAAACGTTTCGGTCCTGGGACCTTGATCACTTCTAACATACAGAGATTGAAAGACATTATATATAGGCGGAGAGTGAGGCGTGAGTGACGCATGGTGACCTGAAGAATGTCATGTTGGGATGAGGACGGGTAGACGATGAGATCATGTGACTCCTGAATTGCTGGGAAAATGATGCTTTGCCTGGTTGAATATCATATATGCTAATGTTTCAGAAATTTTGTGGTTTCCAGTATTACGTTCTATTGTGTCGGTGTCGGCGATTAGCGAGGCTTCTAGCATCGTCGGCGTCTAAGGTCTGGTTCGGTGAGAACGAGTTGTGCCTCATCCCAGTTCATCAAATGTCCCGTGGAGTTTCTGTGGAGGACACAGGCGTACCTTAAATCGTCTCTGTTACAGGCACTTCGATGCTCGTTCAGGCGGACCACAAGATCTCTGCCTGTCTCGCCTACATATTTCTTGGGACAGAATCCACAAGGGATGGTGTCGAAGTTAGAGATGTGTTGCTGCATTTCGTAGTAAGGTTTTTGATAGATGATGTGTTTATGGTGGCAACGTTGATGTTACTCATAGCAAGTGCCCGGCGAGTATTCGTGGCAACATCACCACATGGGAGCACTATAAACTGCTTAGAGGGCTGTTCCATGGGCGGTTTGTTGAGGATAGCTTGTGCCTTGAGTCTGCAATCTCGGATGAAGGAAGATGGAAACTGAAGACGTGTAAAGGCTTGTGTTATGTAAATACATTCTTCTTGAAGAAAACAATGGCTGTAGATGCGAAGAGCTCTCAAGAAGAAGCCAATGAGGACTCCTCTTTTAGTGCGGGTGTCTTGGTGTGAATGGCAGTGCATAAGATCGTCCTTGTTGGTAGGTTTTCTGTACACTTTGAAGAGAAATTTGTCACTGTTGGGAGATCTGCACAGGAGGACGTCGAGGAAAAGAAATTTGCCATCCACAGCAGGCGTCCACACCATCTCTTGTGGATTCTGTCCCAAGAAATATGTAGGCGAGACAGGCAGAGATCTTGTTGTCCTCCTGAACGAGCATCGAAGTGCCTGTAACAGAGACGATTTAAGGTACGCCTGTGTCCTCCACAGAAACTCCACGGGACATTGATGAACTGGGATGAGGCACAACTCGTTCTCACCGAACCAGACCTTAGACGCCGACGATGCTAGAAGCCTCGCTAATCGCCGACACCGACACAATAGAACGTAACACTGGAAACCACAAAATTTCTGAAACATTAGCATATATGATATTCAACCAGGCAAAGCACCATTTTCCCAGCAATTCAGGAGTCACATGATCTCATCGTCTACCCGTCCTCATCCCAACATGACATTCTTCAGGTCACCATGCGTCACTTCACACCTCACTCTCCACCTATATATAATGTCTTTCAATCTGTATGTTAGAAGTGATCAAGGTCCCAGGACCGAAACGTTTTCTAATAAATATGCCATAGTGTTTGCTTAGGTGTCTTTTTAAACCAATTCTATCATGTCTTTCCTCATTTTTCATCTTACAGGTGAATGTAATTTAGGTAACTTGAGTCTTTTTTCATACGGAAGATTTCTAATGCTATGTACTAATTTTTTCATTCTTTGCTGAATGTTTTCTAACGAATTTATATCCATGGAGACCAGAACTGAGCTGCGTAATCTAGGTGTGGCCGTACTAATGATGTATAAAGCTGTAGTATAACCGCTGGACTTCTGTTGCTTACACTTCTTGATATAAATCCCAATAATCTATTTGTCTTATTACGTACGCTTAGGCGTTGCTGTCTTGGCTTAAGATTTCTGCTTGCCATAACTCCCAAGTCTTCATCGCATTCTTTATGGCCAAGTTCTAACCAACCTGACGCCTATATAAGCGCCAGCCTCCTTGTCTGTGCTGCAGAATCTCGACGACTATGGTGCTCTTCACACCAACTCCAAGGATGAGGGACTGATTACCTAATCTTTTATATGCAGGTTCTACTTTCTTGAAGTTATGTCCTAGAATCTGTATTGATAAAGCCACTGGAGGGCGAAACGTCTACAATAAAGATACCCAGATGTTTCACATGAGTCTTAATTTTCATCTTGTCGGTAATGTATACCTGTCTTGCAAAGCGTTTATTCTGTTAGTGGGTTGGATTTGTGAATGACCTGCCAAGTATGGGCCAATAGTCCTGCCACAGTGTTCCTCCTTTCTTATGTTCTTATAAGTGCCGGGGTTATTTACATTCCCGAGCTTCAGGATTTTACATTTGTTTACACTGAAGTGCATCTGCCACTTTTCTGACCACATGAGCTAAATCTCCCTGGGATTTATAAGGAAAAGTACAAGCAACAGGAGCCCAGAAGTTATACTACACCTCTACACATCATTAGTAAGGCCTCATTCAGATTATGCATTTATATATATATATATATATATATATATATATATATATATATATATATATATATATATATATATATATATATATATATATATATATATATATATATATATATATATAATTATTATTATCATAATCATTATCATCATTATTGCTTTTATTGTTATTCTTATTATTCACTTTTCCACAGGAAGAAGTAGATAATTTCATATCCAATGAAGACTGTGACGTCACACATTCATTCGCGTCTATTTTTCTTAAAGAAATGCAAAGGCATGTCGGAGAAAAGTCTATATTCAACAGTAAGTAACATAATTATATATATATATATATATATATATATATATATAATATATATTATATATATATATATATATATATATAATATATATATTATTGTGACCACGAACGAGTGGTATTGAATGAGTAACAACATTGCGGCTAGTCAAGGATTCGAACCCATGTAGACCGAAATTAACTCAGAGGCACCCACACCACCGTATGTCCTCGGATCAAGGTAAAACACCTAGCTCTGCTGGGTGCTTGATTCTTGTAGTATTGTGTAGTCCAGTGGGTTAGAGCGTCGTGTGATTTTCACTCACCATAAGGCGGGCCAAAACGACATGGGTTCGAATCCTCGGCTAGTCTCAGTTTATTACTTGACAGATGTTTATTACACCTTAATCTGAGTTCATATATATATGCAATAAGATCGCAGTAAACAGTTGATATTACATTTTTTTATTTTTATTTAAACCCAAGTGAGTCATTCAGCGCAAGACGTGTTGGAGGCTCGATCCTCCGTCTGGTGAGCGCCAGACAGACGCGCTTCCTATTTGTACTCGCCTAGATGTTCATATTACAGTATTTCACAATATGCAAAACAGCCACAGTCAAAATGTACTGAACTTTCAAGCGCATTCGTGATTTCGCACATTATCATGCAATAGTGGAATTTCACTATTTTTCACTGGAATTTTAATTGTCCTTACAACTGCACGTCTGTGTTGAGCATCAGCTGCATTCCCAGAAGACACGCAGCAGGTACATAGACACAGACACCGTTAAAAACCACAAGACATAATACAGTGTCTGAACGATACATAAATATGTTGATAAATGGCTCAGAGAACCGACAAGTTGATAAATTAGACACATGTGCAAGACTTGGATATCTCTATTGTGGAAACGTTTCGCTACACAGTGACTTCATCAGTCTCGATGAACTGATAACATCGACTCCAGGTCGAGGGAGTGATTATCTCAAACTCCTTCTGAACTTCACCACTGCTTTGTATAGGACTGATGAAGCCACTGTGTGGCGAAACGTTTCCACAATAGAGATACCCAAGTGTTGCACATGTGTCTAATTTATCAATACACAAATAACCCGCACATTGGTCCAAGTCGGACCGAAACGTCTTCATAAGCTTCTCTATCTCTTATGTGTGTTTTTTCTGTACACAGAAACCTCTTTTCACTGACCTGATCTTTCTGTTGTTTCCAGTGCACGAGTTTACAGCGGTGATATTTGATATGTTTGCGGCCGGGATGGACACCACGTCAAGCACCCTGACCATGGGAGTGTACCTAATAGCCAAGCACCCAGCCATCCAGCAGAAAGTTCAGCAGGAGCTGGACGAGGTCCTCGGCAGGGACAGACTACCAAGCTACTCTGACGCAGACGCGTAAGTAGCGGGCGATATCAGGTGGACTAGGGTTAACTTTCTTCTAAACAAAAGTGGTTGAAATATATTTGAGTAAAGTTATTATTTACCAAAACCTAAGTTATGATGCAAGTAGCATCGTATTTTGTTTAATGTTCCAGTGTCTAAAAAGGAGCAAACAGATCTCACACTGCAATGGTTGAAACACCAAGAAGTAAGGATATCAATGACATCTTGCTGACAGGGGTAAAGAAAAGAAAGGTTGCAGGACAAACTTTTGCTGGACCAGCGTTAGGCTGTGGCTTGTAAAAGTACTGCAGAAAGTAAAAATCTTGTCTTAACAAAAGCTCGTTTGCAGAATAAACTCTTACTGGAACAACGCTGTGCTGTGACTTGATAAACTACTGCAGAAAATTAAAAAAATCTCGTCATAACGAAAGCTTGTTTGCAATCCGTGTCTTTTCTTTCTCCTCCCCCCCCCCCACAAAAAAAGTATAATACTCACTTCTTTGCTCTCCTCAAATCAAATGACCTATACAGATTGGCATTTCCCTATGAATACAATTCTAATGATAATGTACCTCCTCTTCTCACCTATCTATCAGGCTGCCCTATACACTCGCCACTATACACGAGGTACAAAGGTACTTCTGCTTTACAGCTGTCGCCACTCACAGTGCTTCGGAAGACTGCAAGTTTGCAGGCTACGACATTCCCAAAGGTGACTTTGTCTTTGGTACTGCTAGGTACTTTTCAGAACTGCTAGATACTTTACAATTGGTCGAGGGGTAGGCAATAACAGTGTGTTTCACATGTAGATTAGTGTGTTGATAAATATTTTTCATGTGGGTGAGGGTACCAGTAAATATTGGAAAGCATTTTGCGAGTAACTGGGTTTCAGGAGCACCTACGTCACAGATAATTAAGCATGTGAGTGCACATTCATCAATTAGGACTCACGAGTCTATTCTTAATGTCTCTGATATCTACACTGAACTTTAGAATCATGACATCATTTAACAAGGAAGAAGCTTGCTCTGGGCGAAACGTTGTAATAAAAGCTGCTTTGACTATGTATCTTTGATGCTCTGTATACTTTCCTGTGGTTAACCGTGTATGGACTTTATATCTTTCATGCAGGGACGGTGTTACTAGAGAACATAGAGGCTGCCATGACAGACCCTAAGTTATGGAAGAACCCGCAGGAGTTTGACCCAGAAAACTTCCTCAACGCTGACGGAAAATATGTAAAGAATCCGGCCTTCATTCCTTATGGAATAGGTATGATGTCATATTTTAGCTTAAAATAAATTAATCGGTGTAACAGACTCGCCTTTCCTTAAGGTGACACTGTTGTCCCTGGTGCCTATCAGTACGTATATACCTAGTATTATATTATATTATATTATATTATATATATATATATATATATATAATATATATATATATAATATATATATATATATATATATATTATATATATATATATATATATATATGGAGATGGAAATCTTCAGCTCATGATCTTCCACATGTTTCCACGAGTCATCAGGAGCTATGCAATGTTGCTAGAGTAGCAAGAGGTGGAATGAGAGGAAGTATTCTCAGAATAAGGTAGTGTGGTGACACCAACCAATTCCTCTCAGAAATGGTCAGGACTCAGACATAGTTCGTCACCCAGGCATCCCGTCAAGATCAAGAGAGGTTTAGGTAAGACACTCTTTTTGGGGTGAGCATGGAAGACGGTACAGGTGAAGAATAGTTTTGGTGAGGAGTGTCCACAGTCGTAGAGAAAGTGCCAGGGCTTAACCCAGAAACAGAATGATAGGAAATGTAATAGCCAGCCCTAAGGTGCATCTAATCTCCATCAACAAGTCGTGTGTCACATTGCCCTAGTGGATAGTACACATACAAAACCTTGAAATTATATGTGAACCTTGTGATTAATTAAGGAGTTGAATGTGCTCATTGTTATGTAAGGAATATTACCAATAGACCTCTGGCTGTCTTCAAAAGGAAGTTGGACAGGCACCTAAAGTCAATATCTGACCAGCCAGGCTGTGGTTCGTACGTTGGTTTGTGCGGCCAGCAGTAACAGCCTAGTTGATCGGGCCCTGTTCCACCACGAGGCCTGGTCATGAACCGGGCCGCAGGGGCGTTGACCCCCGGAACACCCTCCAGGTATATGTCCAGGAGGGTTTTAGAAGGTTCCAGGTAGTGCTAGTGTTTGAAGATATCGTCAGTGTTAATCATAACTCTTCCTTGATTATTCATGAATTTTCCTACTGTTCTGTGAGTCACATGATATGACAGATTATAGTATGTCAATATTAGTCACATATGTAGTAGGGTTCGTGAAGCAAAATGTGCATCTTGTCTATAATGAAGTATGGCAGGAAATGTAGACGGATGGGCTAAATACTTTTACAGCTGTTTCATGTATTCACACTCCACTAAGAGGAGTTAAGGACACAATTGGAAATAAATCCCTTTGACTTTTTTGGGGTTATCTTAGGTAATTTACACATATATTACTATGTATGATAATTTGTGTAACTGTATTTATGTGTATCTGTACCTAAATATACTTACTCTGTATTACCATACATCAGAGAATACAACACAAAGTATCAGAAGAAAGGCTTCACTACAAAGATCCCAACTTGTACCTACTACTATCATATATGCTTTCCCTGCTCCACACAGAGGGTTGTTAACATATCCTAAGTATTGTAGTAGTAACTGCATTCCTAGAGATACTCAACAGCAACCTGATTGTCTTCTGTCATTAGGACTGACTTGGGTTATCCTGGACAACTCACACACACTGCTATGTATAACAGTCACCATCACCTGTGTGTTGCTATGTGTGATAGTTGTAGCTACCTAAACCTGTGTATTTCAGGATATTCTTAAAGGCCTGAATGTCTCCTCTCACTCAGGTCCCACTTAAGATAACTTACTACGTCTAGCTTTCTTGGGTTATTTTAGCTAACATAAACACATGTTGTTATGATCAACAGTTGCAATGTTTCTTATCACAAGGATCCCAGAAGCGATAAGTCATTCTGCCTGATTGTCTTAGGTTATCCTAGGAAAGTCACTTACGTAAATGTTTCACATGTAGAAATCCCCTAAACTTGTTTTAACGCACAACAATCTGCTAACACCAGGTACCTAATTTACTGCTAGATGAATGGGGGGGGGGGAGAATAGGTGCAAGGAAACATGCTCACCGCCTCCAATCGCCCCTGAATCAACCCCGGGTCATGTGGTTGTTAACTGTAGACGCTAATGACTGGTATATTCCTACAGGAACACGGGTATGCGCCGGGGAGCCTCAGGCCCGAATGCAAGTTTTCCTCTTCCTCTCTTGCCTCTTCCAGCGCTTCACCTTCTCCATCGTAGGTGAAGAGATCCTTTTCAACAGCCCTACCAACTTCAACGCCCCCGCCATCTACAGTACTGTAGCGCACCCGAGACCACCTCTGTAGGCCTCGTCTCCTGTGTAGCAACTAAAGTAGTGCAAGAGATCTCTGCTGCCTGCAGTCCTGCATCAGTAAACACTTCTGAAGAGTCCCTCAGCAGTTTCTACAAAGTCATCTTATAAATATTCACCTCCAATATTTCAAGGAATTAACAGCATCTATACATCTACTACAGGAAATAACCAGGGTACGGGTGGGGTTAGAACTCATGGCAATGGAGTCGTAAAACTGAAGGCCAGTGCGTGAATCACTAGGCCAGTGATTTACTTGGCATGAGTTCTAATCCCACCCGTACCCTGTTTTATTTTTTATTTTTTTTTTACGATTTGTTTGTTATTACGATTTCGTAAAACATTACTACAGGAACTTAAAATTTGAAGTCAACTTAACACTTCCAAGACTTTCTTTCCCCCCCCCCCCCAAAAAAAAAAAAAAAAAATTGATGTCTTATTCACTTTTCTTAATCTTCACTAAACTAAGCAGTGTATGCTAACCCACATCACTGTGTCACATAAGTACTTGAGAGAAGCCTCAGGTAAGTTCACTGCTGGAACCCAGGCGCTTATCAGATGATGAACTGAGAGGCTCCAGAAAAGCGTATAACTGTATCCTTGGCGTTATAACCGTTATCACGCTTGGATCAAAAAATTTTTTTTGTCTTGCATTTTTAAATTAAAAAATTTTTATGACCTTTTTTTTTGGAACACAAATGCAATTATTTTTTATAAAAAAGCCAAAGGATTTTTCACCGGGGGGGATGTAAGGGTTTGGTTTAAACAACTGGAGAGCAATTTTAAAAAGGCCCCCAAATAAAACCGTGACTAGAACAATACACAAATAATGTACGAGAGAAAAAACTTATGACAACGTTTCGGCCCGACTTGGACAATTAACTAGTCGGAAAAATAAACACAAATCCATTGGATCCTTTATTGACAACGTTTCGCCCACACAGTGGACTTTATCAAGTGAAGAGCACAGGAGTACATGTATATATAATTAAGAGTCAGGTGGGCTCTCCATTCTGGGGTTACTATATACGGGTTACTATATACACTCATATACCTGGAGTATACCTGGAGAGGGTTCCCAGGGTCAACGCCCCCGTGGCCCGGTCTGTGACCAAGCCTCATGGAGGATCAGGGCCTGATCAACCAGGCTGTTACTGTTGACCGCACGCAACCCGACATACGAACCACAGCCCGGCTGGTCAGGTACTGACTTTAGGTGCCTGTTCAGTGTCTGCTTGAAGACAGCCAGGGGTCTATGGGTAATCTCCCTTGTGTATGCTGGGAGGCAGTTGAACAGTCTTGGGCCCTTGACACTGATTGCGTTGTCTGTTATCGTGCTAGTGGCTCCTCTGCTTTTCATTTGGGGGATGTTGCATCGTCTGCCGAGTCTATTGCTTTCACAGGGAGTGATTTTTCGTGTGCAAGTTTGTTACTAATCCGTCTAGGACTTTTAAAGTGTATATGATCACGTATCTCTCCCTCCTACGTTCTACGGAGTATAGGTTTAGGGACTTCAAGCGTTTCCAGTAAATGAGGTTTTATCGCGGTTATGTGCGCTGTAAAGGTTCTCTATACTTTTTCTAGGTCAGCAATTTCACCTGCCTTGAAAGGTGCTGTTAGTGTGCAGCAACATTCCAGCCTAGAGAGAACAAGCGACCTGAAGAGTATCATCATGGGCTTGGCATCCCTAATTTTGAAGGTTCTCATTATCCATCCTGTCATTTTTCTAGCAGATGTGATTGATACAATGTTATGGTCTTCGAAGGTGAGATCTTCCAACATGATCACTCCCAGGTCTTTTACATTAGTTTCTCGCTCTGTTACCATGCCCACAAAATGCATAACCTCCTTTTGGTTCTTTGGTACAGGATAATTGTCTATAGCATCCACCTTGGCATTCACTGGGGCCACTTTCCCCTGGCCAATAACATGTCCTAGAAAAGTTACCTGGGCTTGTCCGGAAACATTCTCTGCCAAAATAACTGTGAGCTGATCATCAGCAACCCTAGAGAAAAGCTCTCAAAGCTGCTTCACATACTTTGTCCAACAGTCGCTAAAAATAACAAGGTCGTCAATATAAAACCTCACGCCATTTAGGCCACGTAAGACTTCCTGCATCCTGTGTTGAAAACAGGAGGGTGCGTTACAAAGCCCAAATGGAAGAACCTTGTACTGAAAAAGACCATCTGGCGTTACTAAAGCAGAGATGTCACTGGCACGTGGGGTTAAAGGTATCTGGCAATAACCCTTCAACAGGTCTAACTTACATATTTAGCTCCTCCCACTGCATCATTGACATCATCCATTCTAGGAAGAGGAAAACAATCAGCCTTAGTTATTAAATTAACCTTATGGTAGTCAGTGCACATCCTCATGGTGCCATCTGGTTTGGGAATCATTAAGCAGGGTGATGCCCACTCACTCTCACTCGGTATTATTAAATCATTGTCAAGTGGAAATTTCACCTCCTTCTCCATACTTGTTCTCTTTTGTGGATTCATTCTGTAAGGGACCTGCCGAATTGGTTCAGCTTCCCTTACATCTATATCATGGAGTTTTAGCTTGCTTACACGAGGGATATCCCCGAACGAATCCTCAAAATTCTAAAGAAGCTGAACTTTCTCAGCAACCCTTTCCTTACTAAGACCTAACATACATTGTGAAGGGTCTTTTAACAATGCACTGTTACTAAGGTGTATATCTGTGGCTCCCTGCACATCAGTGTCCGCCCCTGTGTCACCTTCTATATTAACACTCGCCACACCTCTTTGGTGGTACGTTTTCAGCCTGTTTATATGCACCACACGTTCAGACTTCCACTACCCAGGTGTGTGAATTCTGTAATTTTGATCTGTGACCTTTGCCACCACCGTGTATGGCCCACTGTACTTTGCTTTTGAGGCATTACCAGGCATCGGTTCCAATGCTAGTACCTCCTCTCCCACTTCAAAGGTACAGGCCACGGCCTTGCTGTCAAATAGTTTCTTTATCTTGGTTTGGCTGTGCAGGTTCTCAGCCGCCAGGCACTTCATGTGAGCCAAATGGTCTTTGAAAGCGAGAAAATCCTCCGAAGGGGCAGCCTCACAATCCTCACCAAGCCAGTGATCCTTCAAAATCGTCAGTGGCCCCCTTACCTGGTGATCATAGATCAGTTTGAAGAGACTATAGCATAATGAGTCCTGAGTGTTGTCCCACATGGCAAATAAAAGGAGGGGGATACCCTCATCCCAGCCCTTCTGGTACTGGTTACAATAAGCACGCAGCATAGTCTTGAGAGACTGGTGAAAGCGATCCACAACCCCTTGATTCTCTGGGTGATAGGCGGTTAGGTTGTCATTTTAATATTAAACTCCCCCAAAACTGTGCAAAAATGTTTCGATGTAAAATTTGACCCCTGATGTGTTTGAATTTCCTTAGGGATCCCTACTTGCGTAAAAAAAATTCACCAATGCTCTCAAGACCACGTGTGTAGTAATTTTATGCAGTGGAACGGCCTCCGGAAACCTGGTAGAGGAACAAATAATAGTAAGTAAGTACTGGTTTCCCATCTTGGTCCTGGGTAGTGGCCCCACACAATCCATCACCAGCCTGCAAAAAGGTTCTCCAACTACTGTGATAGAGTTAAGAGGGGCAGGTTTAATTCCCTGATTAGGTTTTCCTACTCTCTGGTAAACCGGGCATGATTCTACATACTCACCCACCGATTCCCATACCTGGGGCCAGTAAAAATGTTTGGAAATCTTGCCCATGGTCTTTTTAACACCTAAATGTCCTCCCATGGGGACATCGTGGGCCAAACACAAACTTGATACCTAAACGGTTCCGGCACCACCACTTGGTAGAGTGCCTCCCGTGCTCCATCTGCAAAAAAAGAAGCATTTAGCTAGTGGAGAGGCCTCTTCCTCGGTAACAGTAGATGACCGAATAGCTTTCAGGGTGTCGTCACACCCCTGGGCCTTGATCAGCTGTTCTCGAGTAGGAGTCGCCCCTCCTATACCAGCTCCAAGGTTAGGTTAGGTAAGGTTCGTCAGGAAACAGGACAAATGTTTCCTGACGCGGGTCTTAGTCAGATGATGACCCGCCTTTGGAGCTTTTGGTCATCTGACCGAGGCCTTCCGCTGGCTTACCGGTCCACCCCTTTAAAAATTATGGTCATTTATAACCATTGTTATATATACCAGCTCCAAGACCCCCACTCAAACTGGGTCCTGCCTGGGATGGTTCGTCACTACCCTGAACCCCCACAGGCTAGGCTCAAGGAAAAGGTTTCCCAAACCCAAATCTTCCCCAGGATCGGAAGAGTCAAGGAGAGGCACTGCAATCTTATCTTTTGCCATTTTTCTGGTTATTGCACATACTGGAAATAACTCTGTGAGGCTGGGTCCCTCCAAACCAGAGGTTCCTCCACTTTTGAGAAGACCCATCACGTTACTGCCTAACAGTAGGTCAACACCTTCAAAAGGTATATTCTCTGTGATACCTACAGATAAGTAACCACAATGGTATGCAGACTCCACCCATAACCTGTGCACTGGAGTCTTGACAGTGAATCCGGTAATCCCTTTGAGTAAAACGTCCAACCTGGTGTATGTGTCATCCGACACTGGCAATACACCCCTACAAAGCAAGTTGTACGTGCTACCAGTGTCCTTCAAAGACATAACACCTGTTACCCTACCTTCATTTTGGAGTAAGACCACAGTGGACTTACTTGTAAAGACCGTCATCCGAGGGTCCAAAACTGCTGGATTACCTGATGTACCCAGAGGTGACACTTCAATACTAGTTACAGTGTGGATACCTGGCGTATCTACCTGAGAAGCCCCTGCAACCGCCTGATCTCTATGTATCTTCTTGCAATACGGCTGCAGATGGCCCTGTTTATGACAATAAGTACAGTAATAAGGTTTAAAGACTCCCTGCCCATTTGACCTAGGTTGGATCCCTTGACTCTGGGGAACTGGACTCGTCCCACCTGTTCCTTGTAATCCTGGACCAGTGACTGCGGACTTAAAACTTCCCTGGGCAGGTACTTGAGAATTAGGCTTATTCACACTCTGGTGGTTATTAGACTGAGAAATATGTGGCTTAAATTTCTTATTCCTACTGGTGGGTGGGGATTATTATTATTATTATTATTATAATCAAGGGGGAAGCGCTAAACCCGTAGGATTATACAGCGCATGTGGGGGGATGGAAGGTATTCAGGTTCAATTCAGGGAACCGGAGCACAGATCCAATTCCATAGATCAAGAGCCCCTCACCTACGTCAAGGAACCTCCCTTGAGGGGGGTGGGTGGGGAAAACTTACCATTATTAGTATGTGGTGGGTGGTAACCACTACCAGATTTCTGGTTAGCTAAAAATCTATCACCCAGCTCTAAAGCATTATTAAAATCATCCAGATCCTTCTCCTCAAGATATGCCTTAAGGTCAGGAGGAACATTTCTCAAAAGATCCTCTAACAAAATTGAGGTAATTACACCTTCATAATTGTCTACCACAACTTTAGAGCGACACCACCTATTCAGAAGTGACATCTTCTTACCATATTCCACCAAAGACTGCCCTGCCTGAAACTTTAGTCCTCTAAATTTCTGCCGGTATCTTTCTGGCAACATCTGATAAGCCAGTAAAACTACCTCTTTCAGTTTATTATAATCAGAAAAGGCCGGTCCCTCTAGAGAACTAACGGCCTGTAACCCTTTACCAACTAGTTGGGTTCTCACTAATGTCGCCCATTCCGTTTCCGGCCAATCTTGGGATTTGGCCGTACTTTCAAATAACAGAAAAAACTGGTCTGGGTCTTTCTCTAGGAATTTGGGCAGAAATTTTATGGCTTTGTCCAAATGAAAAAAATCCCCCCTCGGGCCTGTGGCTTGTTGAGAAGCACCCTGCCTCTCCTTAACAAGGACTTCACGTGAGTATCGTAGCCATGTCCAACCCGGGTACTAAAATATTAATACCCGAGTATCAAAAGTTTGATACCAGGGTATCCAAAAAATTATACCAGGGTATGCAAAAAACTGTACCAGGGTATAAAAAAAATTATACTAGTTTATCCAAACCACCACCATTCACAGATAGATACGTATATCACCACGTGCATATGGACGTATGTGAATGTATAATCAATAATATTAGTACAAGTCCACCTGGACATGATGATACAGATGGTTCAAAGAAGACATCTTTATTTACAACTTACTGAAAGCTCACAATGCCTGTCCTCATACCACACCTGTTAACTCACTACTCCTATGTTGTTTTGTAGTAACACCCATTTATCAGTGCTCCATGACCCCTATGGGTTTAGTGGTTTCCCGTGAATATAATAATAAATTTAATAAAATAATGATAATTATCCTGACAGGGTGGCACTGATGAAGGAAGGAGAGTACCAGGTCACTGCTTACGGTACTAAACAGGGGTCCAGCAGGGCTCCAATTCAGCCTTGCTGTTCCTCAACGCTGGAGCCAGAGTGTACCTGGAGGTGCAGCAGGGAACCATCTACGAGCACCTTTCCAACGAGGTCTACACCACCTTCAGTGCCTTCCTCGTCGAGCAGTTCTAGAGAGGATAACGAGTACATACCACTTATGATGCGCACGGATGTAAGAGTGAGGGAACTAAATAACTGTTAACAGACAGCCTTTCTACCGACTACATGTGGTGCAGCTATAATTCTTGTCTGCAGAGATGAGAAAAGAGAAGCGACAGAAGGGAACGAGGAAGGCAGGAGTTGAGGGAAAGAGGGAAGTAGAATAAAAGAAATAAGGAAAGTATGGAGGTAAGAAGAGAGAAGGAGGAAGGGAAGGAGGAATAAGGAAGACAGAATGCGGAATGCCCAACATTCAGGGCTCGGCTCTCCTCATCAAGTTCTATTTATAAGTTATTTATTTATTTGGATTCTTGCTGTAGCTCCTGCGAGTGACTGTTATAACCATCCACGGCCTTTATGGTGTTGTTTCCTGGTTTCTGCTGATAAAGTACCTCTAAAGATCTCATTTACGAAAAGAAAGTTCAGGTGACGCTTTTGGTCCATCCTCGACAATTGATAACTGTTTGATGACTCGATTTTGATACACTCGAAAAGTGGTCACAATTCTTTCTCCAGGTACCTACTTGCTGCTAGGTGAACATGACCAACATTTCCATCCGTGCCGGGGATTGAACCACGGACACTAAGTGTGCGAAGCGAGAGCGTTGCCAACCGATCCACGGGACAGATCCAGTGCTTGATATCGCTCTGAAGTGATAACGTACACTATCTAGAGAACTCAAGATGTTTTAATCGCATCTCATATGACAGTCCCGCAGTAAACACCTGACCTCCCACTCTGTCAGTTGTGGAACATTGTGTGGCAAGTTACAAACTATCAGGTATGTCAGAGAGATTCAAACAATCGTCAAGGTGCATTTATGACTGTCTTCTCGGCTATATTTCTGAAGATATGTATGTGGATGACTACCAATAAACTCACTTTTAATATTGACAAGAACTTCTATATGTTTGCAATCAGAGCTGCAAATGGCCTTATAAATATAATGATTAACGGTTCTTCCACTGTAAGACAGACCGAGGAAATTTTTTTAGGTCTGTACGACCTCTGGAACTTGGAGCTCTACACCCACATCGAAAGCATAACAAAGATTTCAAAATCAGTAGTAGGTTTCCTCTCTAAAATACGTTACAGTGTACCTCAAACATAGCTACTTTGTACTATTACGTAATCTATCCTTACCTCACCTTTGATATTTTTGCCTGTGGAGCTACAACAGTAAATCACCTAAAGCCAATAACAACAACAAAAAGCGGCTGTATAAGCGATTACCCAATCTAGTGCCAGATAACACACTCTCCCACTCTAAGGTATAAACTTACTCAATATTCACTCTTACTCCTGTGCATACTATGTACATGAGAGTTAATTCTAATATAAACACTGCTCTGAAACTCTTCCTTGATAGCTGCTTCAAAGCCATTGTTAAAAAGTCCCTCGTCTCCATAATGTGAATCTTGACAGCAATACACTATGTCAAAAAAAAAAAAAATACTAGAACCCCGATGTTTGCATCCAGTTCTGTCCCTGTTCCTCTTTTTCCAGCTTTTTTTTTCAGCTGCCATATATTAGAAGCAAAAACGACGTATCTTATCATATTTTAACGATTACATCATATCACGAACACAAGTGGAAGTCTGATGGCCTGCTGCAGTTGGTCGTAATTAAGTCAGCAGACAAAGGACTCAGCAGGACGGAGAGCAAGGGTAAGACAAATGCATCAGGGGGTAAATTTCTTTGCCCATGTATTCTTTCACCAATATTTACACTATGTACAGTATTAATAATAAAAGAATAAATCAGATTGAAATGGTACAAATCAGAGCCACTCAAAGGAGTATTGGTCACGATCAATGTCGGTGGAAGTCTGCCGCTCAGCCAGGCAAGCTGAAGTGACTTCACCTTGGCTTGAGCAGCCAGCTACCACGCGATTGGAGGTTCTGAACTGGCCAGTAAGCTGAGCAGCGGGGGCTCCAGAACTGCTCCACTCTGAAATGCCAGTTCACTGGTCGTTACGGCATGTCGAATGCTTATATGACGAACATCATACTCAGCGCACGCCACATATAATTTTGTTATTTTGTTTTTATAATGAATTAACTGAGTAAATTTCATATTTAGTGCAGACTAGGTTTTACCCGAGATGCTATGCATTCTTTGTGCCCTCAGTTTATTGTCTGTCTTGGGCAGCAGTTCTAAAATTTAGATTAGTACCTGCATTTGTATTCGACTAACATTAATAAGCTCCACAAATATTATATCGAATTGTCTCACTAAAACTTCCAACAAACTACTCTTGCAAAAAATCCGCTAGTAGTTACAGGTTGTAGGTATGTATAAACAGTGGTGGACCTACATTTTTGGGGCCCTGAATTTTGAACCCCTCATACAGCAGACCCAAAATTTTTATGCAGTGTGGACTAATGTGGCTTCTGGGGGCCCTCCGGGATTCGGGCCCTGAAGCTTAAGTTTCACTAGTTTAAAAGTAGATCCGCCCTGGTTATAAGGTATTTTATGGCTGCCCGAAATTCTCTGCGAAATTAGGATCTTTTTATATATAATGATATTAATGAAACATTTCCCGTACCGATTGTAATATATTCTTTATAGAATAAAGTTTAATTTATTTTAATTAATTTTATTTCAGTTCACTTCAGGCCTCCGTGATGTGTCTATTTCCTGTCTGTGTATATATATAACATATGTTGTCTGTGTATATTCTGCCTCTGAGGAGATTCTCCTGTTATACTCATATTCCTCCCGGTCTTTATTCGTGTTTCTTATGCCTTTATGACTGCATTTACTCTTTTTGTCTTTAGGTCTCCATTGGTGTCACTTACTATGCTTTATGGTACGCCAGGCCAAACTTCGCCAAAATTACCTCAGTTTCTCTGGCACTATGTACAAGTCTGACTTTCTTTCTGCTAGACATGGCGCTTGAGTGGATGGGAAAGATGCCAGGATGGGAGAGCATTGTTCTCCTGGGCCTCCTCCTCTTCCTCCTCCTAATCTTCGTCGCTCCAGGAAGACGACCTCCAAATTTTCCTCCAGGTAAGAATGAATGAAGAAGTTACCGTCCCATCTTATAGCTAGCGTTAAAAACAAACTTAATAAACCCATGGATAGTAACAGTTGAACGTGACGAAATCTTTTCTAGCATGTCGCAGCAGACCTACAGTGTTTTTATATTTTATTTTCTTAAGCAACATAGATACATAGGTGGACTAGGAATAAATTTGTAAATAGACAGATCTGGGAGCTTAACACTGCAACACAAGCTACTAGGGATTGCAAAAGATTAGACCTTTCACACTTCCGTGCTTCGTCAGGAGCTATGCAATGTTGCAAGAGCTGCAAGAAGTAGGTCACAAGTAAAGATTCTATCAGAGGAAGGAAGGTGTGTTGCACACATGGTCCAGGAAAAGCCACAATTTAAACTGACTTTATTTTCTCTATACTGCATTGACAACCAACTGACTGGTGAAATATCTCGTAATATTCAGGTTATTCCATGTCTGTCTATCTTTATTGTTGGTGTTACTTACCATTTATTACCTCAGAGAGAGAGAGAGAGAGAGAGAGAGAAAGGCGTTATATTACGCCTCTCGCTCTCTTAATGCGATAATAATAATAATAATAATAATAATAATAATAATAATAATAATAATAATAATAATAATAATAATAATAATAATAATAATCTTATCTCAGGTATGCCGATGCTACCAGTAGTGGGTTCCCTGCTTCACATACGCGGTGTGCCGTTAAGAACTTTACTACGTAACCTTAAGAAGGAGTATGGCAACATGGCAAGCTTTGGCATCTTTGGCACCGGGTATGGCACTTGTTTGTGGTTCGTCCATTACCAACTTTCGTTTGCTGTCTAAGTCTGTCTGTGGCTCTGACTATGCTTTAGTCAGCTTCTCTGTCTGCCTGTCTGCCTGAGAGTCTGTCTGTCTGAAAGTCTTGCAGTATGTTTGTCTCTGTTTCAGTCCCTCTTAAATACGTACTCACCACCTAAGTAATATTGGCTCTTATTAAAATAGCAAATTAAATAGGTATTCACCACCTAAGTAATATTGGCTCTTATTAAAAATAGCAAATTAAATATGGGGAAAGTCTATACTACCTTTCTCATTATTGTTGTTAGGTAATACACAAATGCAACAGTTAGGTATCTTTATTACGAAACGTTTCGCCTACACAGTAGGCTTCTTCAGTCGAGTACAGAAAGGTTGATAGAAGCAGAAGATACTTGAAGACGATGTAATCAGTCCATCACCCTTGAAGTTTTGAGGTGGTCAGTCCCTCAGTCTGGAGAAGAGTATTGTTCCATAGTCTGAAATAATATGGAGTGGAAGTGACAGGATGGAGCCTATATACCGCCAGGAGGTGAGATGTAGGCCACTAGTAGAGGTCAGAATGTTGTCGTTGGAAGGTCAGGTCCCTCTCAAATCCAGCTGGATTTGAGAGGGACCTGACCTTCCAACGACAACATTCTTGTTAAATTAGACACATGTGCAACTCTTGGGTATCTTTATTGAGGAAACGTTTCGCCACACAGTGGCTTCATCAGTCCATACAAAGGATAAACTTGAAGAACAGGAGGAGAATGAGGTAATCAGTCCCTCAGCCTTGAGTCGATGTGGTCAGTCCATCAATCTTGAATAGAATACGGCATATGAGCGGAGAAGCAGCTTATAAACCGTATGGCAGGAGAGGTGCAGCAGTCGTAGGTGGTGTCACATTTGTCCAATGTGGAAGTAGGTCGTGCCCAAGGGTTAGGCAAGCGACGAATTCCCAAGTAATAAGATCCCAAGAAGTTGCAGTGTCTGGCAGGATTGTAGATGAATGGTTCAAAGAACCGACACGTTGTTAAATTAGACACATGTGCAACTCTTGGGTATCTTTATTGGAATCCTCGATGCCCCAAGAGGCTCGCCAGAATTCAAAGTGTCTGGAAGACGCCAAAAACTCGGCAACAGGCTACGACGGATCAAATTCTCTCAGCAAACGATGGGTGCAGAGAACCCTGCCATACCGCAGATCTCTCAGCAGCTAACCCAAGTCAATGCCCAGGAATTCCCAACCCTCGAAGCCTCAACCAGGCGTCAAGGTCAAGAACCTCATGCACCCCTACCTCAACGAAGAAACATAAACAAGAGGAACAGGTCCTTACCCGGCACAGGCGCTTTGCAGACTCAACTGGCGCCTCACCAGCAGATCCCGGCTACCCAACCTGGTATACAGCAACAGACCACAGTGCATACAATAAAGAAATCCAACCCTCAGACCTCAACAGCCCAGATAATATCCACTGTTTCGAACCCAACCCCAAAGCAGGCCCTCACCAGGGAGGATCTCATAGCACTCATCAAGGTGTTCACGGATCTTATTTGCAACACAATCAACTCCACGGAACAACAGAGCGCATTCCGGCAGATGGTCAGTACGCTCCTGAGAGTGTGCTTACTGTCCAAGGAGGAGACAGTGGATGCCATGAATTTGCAGGTTCTCAGAGCGGGCAGGACTCAGTCTCCAGCTCAGGAAACAACAGCGATGGAATAACCTCGGTACCAAATCACACCCTCAAGGTCCTACAATGGAACATTCAGGGCCTGAGGGGCAAACAGCACCTCTTGCTGGAGGAAGTAATTCGGGATCGGGTTGACATCGTCTTGCTACAAGAAACTCTGACTGTCCCGACTATGTGCCCAAGACTACCCGGTTTTGCTGGGTATTTTCGGCACATGGACCCGGGCGTTCACTGCAGAGGCACAGCTGTATTTGTGTCCAATACAATACCTCACGAGGTTATAGCCAACCCTGTGGACTGTGGGGAGGATGTCGAGGTACAGGCCATCCTTGCGCACATACCTGGGGCGCCCATTACCATCTATAACATCTACAAGAACCCAAGACACACCCTCGACATTGCAGAGCTCCTCGCACTAGCACGCACTGAGTGTATTATTGTGGGTGGAGATTTCAACGCACATCACCCAATGCTGCACTCTTACTCAGCAACCAATGCTGCTGGCAGACACATAGCAATGCTCCTGCACGATATTCCAGAGGTAAAGTTGCTAAACAATGGAGACCCCACACACCTGTTGGGTGGCTGCCTCGACCTTACCTTTGGGTCAAGACAACTCGCAGCAGGAGCCACATGGGAAACTCATCCTCACCTTGTCAGTGATCAGTTTGCAGTGATCACCACCTTCAACATCAACAGGCCTCCCACAATTGTGCTGCCTCCTAGATGGGACGTAAAGAGAGCCAACTGGAAGGTGTTCCAGGATTATCTTCATGACTGGTGGTCCACATACTCTCTATCTGAAGACTGTGATACGGCTGAACAGGAGCTAATCACTGTTCTCATCCAGGCAGCAGAGTGCGCAATTCCAAAGAAGTCCGCAGGACGCACTCACAAAAGAGACTGGTGGTTCTACAACGACGAGGTGCGGGAGCAGAACCACCGCATCAACTCTTTTAGGAAGCTATACAGGCGTAACCCTACGGCAGAGAACAGGAATACTCTGAGAGCCATTGTGCAGCATGCCCGTAGAGTCTCTCTCCAGAGTAAAAAACTGAGAAATGGCTGGAGTGGTGCTCAACATTCGGGCATCACACCACCTTATCTGAGATATGGGGCAAGCTCAACATAGCAACTGGCAAGAGCAAGCCGAGGCCACCAGCACACCCGAACCCATCCCAGGAAGCTGAGAAACTAGTGGAGCTTTTCACTTCCAGGGGAGCCTCCACTCAGCTCCCACAGGACATCCGGAATATACAGACGGATCTTCTGCCACAGCGCCAGCTAACGATACAAGCTGCATGTGAGTCGAAAGATGTGACTGATGAAGACCTCACGGACTTCGAACTCCGACGTGCCATTAAGAACACAGGTGACACTGCCCCGGGAATCGATGGTGTTACATACTCCATGATTGCACGGCTGGGCAGGTGGATGGGAGGCCATACTAAGACGTCATTAACAAGTCGTGGAGGGACAGACACTCCCAGCAGCTTGGAAGAAAGCTACCATCGTACCAATTCCAAAGCCCAAGGACCCAGGCAGTATGAGACCCATATCGCTGACCAGCTGCTTAGCCAAGACTGCTGAGAGGATGGTGTTAAACCGCCTCCTATGGAAACTTGGACCCTCTCATCATCACATATTTGGCTTCACCAAAGGAGTGGGTACAGCAGAGTGCATAACCACTCTACTAAACCAGATTGCTGATAGTAACAAAACACCTAGTATCGTCGTCTACCTCGACCTTGAAAAGGCATTTGAGCTAGCCAGCCCCACAGCAATTCTGGCAATACTAGCTCGGAAGGAAATCAAAGGACGCCTCCTGGCCTGGATAGAGACCTACCTTAGGGGCAAGCAGGCCTGTGTCAGCTTTCAGGGACACTACTCTTCCTTTAAAACCCTGGAAAAGGGTACGCCACAAGGTGTGCTCAGTCCTACCCTGTTTAACATCCTTATGCAAGAACTTGTGAGCCTTCCCTTTCATAGTGGTACACAGCTCCTCAGCTATGCTGATGATCTTGCACTCGTAGTGAATGGGAAAGGCAATTTAGAACGACAGGCTCAGAGAGCTTTGGACCTAATTACGCAGTCTTGCAGGGAACTAGGCCTCAAGATCTCGGCCGAGAAATCTCTTGCAATGATGTTCAAGGGACCAGATCTTATGAATAGATTACGTATTCAGGATATAGAACTTGAGTGGACAGGCTTCCTACCTGTACTTGGGAATCTACATTGATAAAAAGCTGACCTTTCACAAACAGGCCGAGTATGTCAGGTCACGTGCTCTACTCAGACTCAACGCCATGAGAGCCATGACGAGGCACCGTGCAGGGGCAAGCAAAGATGTACTTCGCTTGTACAAGCTATACGCTCGCTCTTGACTACGGTGCACCGGCGTTAGCTCATCTCTTCCCGGAGAGCAGGCAAAGGGTGGAGGTCGTACAAAATCAGGCGATAAGAACTATGCTTGGGGCCCCAATCTGGACCAACACAGTATGTCTCAGATCTGAGGCCCGGCTTCCTTCCTTGGCTGACAGAGTAAGATACATAAACGCCTGCAAAGTGGCCACGATTCTGCACCGGCAGCAAGGTACCCCACTAAGGAGACGAATATTGACAACCATGGCACAAGATCCCACACTCTTCACGGACTACTCCTGGATTCGTTTGTTTTGTGCTGCTGGACGGAAGCTGCTGCCTATACAACTACTCCTTGAGAAGAGTTGTGACCTTCCTGTTGCTGGGTACCATCCACCACCTCCCTGGCGCCCAGATCCAGCCGATGTTTGCATCATGCAGCTACCCATCTCTAAGCGTCTCTGCAGTCAAGACACCCTCAGCAATCATGCTGAGACAAGCATGGCACTGGCAGAGGGAGGCACATGTGCAGTGTATTTCACAGATGGTTCTGTCGACCCTGACAGGAAGAGAGCAGCAGCTAGACTGTACCACAATGGTCACACACAAGGCTGGAGACTCCCTGACCACTGCACAATCCTTCAAGCTGAGCTGGTGGCGATTCAGCAGGCATTGTCACATGCCCTACGACATCGACTCCGACCTGTCATACATGTTGATTCCACCTCTGCAATCAATGCCCTCTCCCATCCTCAACCACAGGACAATGTTCACCTCATCACATCGATCCTGAGCATAATGGCAGCCTTAGAAGTTCAGGGTAACAGATCGACATTGAACTAGATCCCCAGCCTTGCTGGCATCCGGGAAAATGAGGCGGCAGATGATGCAGCCAAGGCAGCAACAGACTATCCACATGTTGGGATTACTGTCCCAGTAAGCCTACGACAGACCAAACTGGTGGCTGCCAGAGCCATGAAACTTATGGGGGAGGTCTTAGGTGATACCCCATCTCAACAGAGGTACCGAGCAGCGACTCAGGGAGAACCCCCTCCATATGATAGAAGCTGGTCCAGAGAGCAGTGTACCGCCATCCATCGGCTTCGTTTGGGCTTTCCCACAGCCAAGATGATGGTAGACAAGGCTGAGGAGGAGATGTGCCAGTACTGTCAGCACGTTGTTCAGCGGCCCCTAACACACTATCTTATGGAGTGCGAAGTTACTGAGACACTCCGCAGGCAACTAGGAGTGATATTAC